AGAGACTTTTTTTTTTTTTTTTTATAATTGAGTAACTCTCATGCTATCAGCTGTATCCTATAAGTCAGAGAGGGACAAAGTCTGGCCTGTGAGCTGGATCCAGTCGGCAGTGGACTCGGTTTCCCAGTTGCCTCTGTGCATGGCTGGTGCTGGTCTCCATGGAGCCACACATGAAAGCTCAAGGCTAGGGTTGCCATGGAGACCAGCCTCAGCCACGCTGGCAGGGTGTGTGGCAGAGCAGGACAGAGGGCTGCTCTAGAGCCACTGGGATCTTGCAATGGGGACAGCTTGCTCCGGAGCCAGGGCAGTGTCGCAATCTGTAGCCTGCATGCTTCAGGCAGGGGTGTGCAGGCAAGGGATCACAGCTCTGCCCTGGCTTCTTGCAGCAGTGACAGCCTGGTCTGGAGCACGGGCACAGCCACAATCCCCTGCCTGCGTGCCCCTGCCCAGAGCATGTACGATATAGTTCACAGCTCTGCCCTGGCTCTGGAGCAAGCTGCCCCATCGCAAGATCCCACTGGCTCCGGAGCTACTTTGTTGCACGCCCTGCCAGCAGGGCTGGAGCTGGTCTCCGTGGCAATCCCAGCCATGAGCTTTCACAGTGCAGCTGTGGCTGGGGTCTCCATGGAGACCCCAGCCACAGCTGCACTGTGAAAGCTCATGGCTGGGATTGCCACGGAGACCAGCTCCAGCCCTGCCGGCAGGGCTGGAGCTGGTCTCCGTGGCAATCCCAGCCATGAGCTTTCACAGTGCAGCTGTGGCTGGGGTCTCCATGGAGACCAGCCCCAGACATGTGGGCAGGGGCTGCTGGTAAATGGAGTCTGGCTGCCAGCTGGATTGGCCATGTTGATCACCCCTGCTTTAAGTGAATCCAGGCCATTTGAAAGGTGACTTGAAGCACTAACCAGCAGTAAAAGTTTCATTGTTTTTTATGAATATGCATTGAGTGCGTTTCCCAAGAGTCACCTGCTAGGTAGTTTGGTTTGATTATTGTTTCCTACAGGTTTGTTCACTAGCGGTGCCTCATGGATCCAGTAGAGACTACAAGCGCATTCATGTTCTTTTTGTCATTTTCTGATAATTTACTTTAGTCGCTGCTAATTAATTCCCATACTATGGTTTCATACTAAGTATAATAATAGTGAAAAGCTCTGTGTGCCAGTGCTGGACGTCTGCACAATACAGTCCCTTGTATGTTACTGTTTGAATTTTGGAGAGTAAGCTGTAGCAGCAGACTTGAAAAGGAGCAAAGAAGTTAGAAATTAATAGTGTTCTTTAGCACTACTTTTAAAAATACCACTTAGTTTCCATAAACATCTTAAAAAGTAATGATCTGTTTCATATTCACAGAATTGATGGCTTGGTAAAAGTGCGTACACTGAAAATGAGACTTGCTAAATTTAATGAAGTAGTAAGTGCTTTGAAAGAAGGAAAAACAGAGATGAGCAAGCAGATAAAGATTCTGGAGTGTTCTATTGATGCTTTGATGGCAAAGATTAAGGTATGGAAAAACAGCATAAAGGTCTTCTAACTTTTGAAAGTAATTTCTGCAGGAAGTACGTAGGCCAGAGTTTTGAGTGGAGTTTTCACAATAAGGCAACCTAAATAGGGCCTGACTGTTTTCTTAAGTGCTAAATCCCATTATATTTAGGTATGAATGCCAGATGTGACTGATAAGGCCACTTATTTGGCACCTAACTCTAGGCACCTAAGTTTGATTAATTTGGCCTTCATGCACATTATAATGGACTCAACCTTTTGATAATCATGTATTTTGCCCAGTTTTTTCATTCCTAGACAAATGTATAGTAACAATGTTTTAAATGTTCAAACTCATAACTCCATTATAATTAATTCCATTACTAAGAAGAGTGTTTTACTTAAAAGGTTTTGTCCTTGAGCCTGGTATCCTAGAGGTGAGGCCTCAAAAATCTACTGAAAAAATTAGAGTTTACAAATACTTAGAATCCTAGAAAAGTGGAGCTGGAAGGGACCTCCAAATGCCATTTAATCCAACTCCCCACCCCTTGCCTCAGTCAGGATCTTCCCTATTCAAACCATCCTATACAAATTCATTGTCTAACCTATGACACAGTCAACCCTGACACAACCACAAGACATAACTCCCATTGGTAAAGCAGGGGGACAACAATGGCCCTTGCCCTGTTGCCCCATAGGCTTTTAAGAAATAAGCTTAGAATCTGGTGAGTAATCTTTGAATAAGTGCCTGGACTATCTTTTGTATCCGCATCCACGCACTGAAACCTGCCAGCGTAGGCACTTTAAAGCTTGTTCAAGCTTTAGTTAAAGTACTCCAGCTGCCATTTTTCAGTGTGGGATGCTGATACATGAGACTCTGGAGCCTGCTGGAGCACAGTAATTACCACACTCCAGCAGACTTGATTAATCATGTCTACTCCAAATACTGTAAGTACAGCACGTGAGAGCAGCCTCGCTGTATGTGTGTAGGTGCTGAAAGAGTCCCTAATACCACTAGGTGGACCAATGAGAGTTAAATTTTATCACCATTGACATGACGTCTCAGCTTTGTTTTCCAGGAGTAGTTATACTCTCATCAGAAGTGAGACATGCTGATGTTGCATGTGGTGGGCCAGTAGGGGGTGCTCCTGCATTGAGCCGCCCACCTCCCTGAGCCCGACCACCTTCCAGGCTCTGAATGCCTCCCTAGGGGTGCCTTGCGTCCGGCCAACCCCCTTCCTGGAGCACACTCGCTAGCCTGGGGGTAATGTAGCCGCCACCACCCCGAGAATGGACTCACTCTTGGCCCTGTGTCCTCGGCGAAACACAGACCTAAAGTCCTACGGGTACTTGACCCAGTACAGGCACTTGGGGCACTTCCCCAAGTCAGGGGGCAAAAAGTAAAGTCTCCCTTAGTCTGCAGACCTAAGGGGTCTCTTAGGCATAATTTAGACCCACCCCTCAATAAGTTTCCCACACCGGTCACAAAGGAGGACTTCATTGATTACAGGGGTAGGGTGAAAATAGGGTACAAGATTGAGCAATATCCTAGAAATCCCAAAGAGCAAACAGTCTGGCTGAGGTAGCCTTTTGATCACGCATCTGAGTTACTGCCAGCTAGACATCTAATCAGATCTCGAGTAGCCTACTCACATGCTTCATCCAGAGGCTGGTGAAATCCCCTCTAGAGTCAGGCCGTTTCTAGCTTGTGAGTTTTGGGGGAGAGAGCCAGTTTCAGATGGAAAAGCTCCTCTGAGTCCCCCGCATGGCTGCTACCCCCACCTCCTGGGCAGTCCTAACTTATATAGCCCCTGTGACCTCATTCACCTGGTCCAGTGGAGGCCAGCTCCGGTTGGCTGTCCGCCAACCAATTTGAAATACATCACGAGTTGCTGGGCAGATTCCAGCCCACCA